CCACCCTCCAAAGAATCCATTTTCTCCAGGGGAACTGTTTTCTATAGTCTGGGGATGAGCTGTAATTCTGGGGGGCCCCAGGTTCCACCTGAAGGCTGGCATCCCTACATACACATCTTCCGGATACCGAAATGCAAAGACAGCTCATAAATGTTTATGGTGGGGCTCGGCTGATGTGCCAGTTCTTTCTTAAGCAGTTCCTCCAAAACCCTGACGATGACATAGACAAGACATTTGCACTTCTGTTTTCTCCACTTCCCTGCAACATTTGAGGCCCTTAAGCAGCCCAGATGCGAGTGTATTTTCCAAGTCCAGCTAACCCAGTGCTCTGTCCCCAGCAGAGGTCAGCCACAGGCCTCTGGAAAGTTCCCAGCAGCCGTTCTCTGTTGCTTCTCGCCAGCATTTGCTTCGTTGCATAGTGAAAACAGTGTCAGCTGGTATAATGGTTAACAGACCCAGGTTCAAATCCCCACTCAGCTATGAAGCTTCGTGTGTTAACCTTGGGGGCTCCCCGCCTAATCTGTCTCAGGGGGTTGCTGTGAGGGCAAAACTGAGGCAGAAAGAAGAACCACGTTTGAGCCGCTTGAAGGGCAGGAGAAAAATGGATAGAGAGATGGATCAGAGTTCTTGAGACACAGGATAGCACAAGAATCAGCCAACAGCACAGTTGGAGAAACATTTCTGGATGCGGCGAATCTCAAACACCCCTCCCCCCCAATTTGGTATTAAACGTTTTTTTAAACACTCTTACAAACAGAGAAAGCCATGTCAAATGGACTTCAGTGTGCATTACTCAGTCTCAAAATACAAACTTCTTGGAACCTCAGCTTAAAAATTGAACTGTCACTTGCAGGATGCATGAGGAAGGATGCATTCAACTGCTCTTTACATTTATTGGTTAGGCGCTAAGCAGCTTCTGTGTCCCTCTTTTGTTCTTAAATAGTGCCCACTTCTGCTTTTCCCATCTTTGAAGAGTTGAAGGAGTGTTGACTCATACGAAAAAGAAATACATGGAGATTAAACAGTGGGCGCAGATGGCTGTTCTGCCCAAAGACCGGGAGCTTTGTCCACGCAGAAAACAAAAGGAGAGAGATCCCCTGACTCAGAGCAGTTTAGAAATAGGTGGGGACCTACCCCCGCCCCCGGAATAAAGATGTGCCTCTTGGTGGGGATGGGTGGGGTTGAAAGACAGCAGAAGATGAGCAGAAAGGAGTGACATTATGAGCTTTCTTTCCAAGCTGTATGTGTGTGTGTCTGGAGCAAATGTTAATACTTGTTTAATGAGCAACTCACTTTCATGCTAAAAACCTGGAAGTAGAATGCAAATCAGGGCAGGTTGCTGAACTGCTCACGGATCATTTGGGAAGATATGTCAGGCTGACCTGCTCAATGCTTTATGTGGGGTGTTTTTAGATGAAGGATCTCATGGGAATGTTACTGATTGGGTGAGGCCTGTTACTGCTCTTATGAAATGTGCTACCCCTGAGCGAGACTTAGCAAGGCTGAGCACAGGGTTCCAGTCACTCTGCACTTCTGGCATTCGCTTGAACGCAACCGCCATCCAAAATCAATGCCAGGTGTCCAGGAAAATCATGCTTTTTACCAGAGGTTCAAAGTGGATGTCATTCACATGGCTGATCTTGTTACTTCTAGTTTGGCCCACTGGAAACATGCAGGGTTAGAATAGCTTCCCTTCTTGCGTCATGTCTTACCTCTCAAGTTCAGCTTCCCAAATCTGGTACTACACTTTTGCCTGAACTTAGAAGGGTGTAGCCATGCTCAGCCCTGATCTGGACAATCTCATCAGACTTCAGAAGCTAAGCA